AAGTTTGAGATCAGGTGTTGGTCAGGTTGATTTTTTTCTGAGGTCTCTCTCCTTGACTTGTAGATGACCATCTTCTGTGTCTCACATGGTCGTTGTCTGTAGGATATGGGCTGTATCTTTTCATTCTTAGTTGATTGTGTCGGTGATTCCCAAATTGAATGATCATCAAAATCAATTTAGAAGTTTTTTTATGAAGAAAAAAATACTTATGAAAAAATATCCCAATGCAGGCATGGTGGCATGCAATTGTAGTCCGAGCTACTCTGGAAGCTTAGGCAGCAGGATCTCTTGAGCCCAGGAGTTCAAGGCTGCAGTGAGCTATGATCGCACCACTGCATTCCAGCCTGGACAACAGAGACCCTGTCTCTAAAAAAAATAATAATAATTAAAATAATACATAAATTTTTAAAATATCCCTGAGATTCTGATTCAGTAAATGTAGTCTGGGGCTAAGGGATTAGTATTTTTAAGGAACTCTAAGTGTTTATAATCAGGCTCATACTGTGTTGTACTTGTGAAATAAGGTGATGATACAGTCTTTTGCCATCTTTGTAAGGAGTTATGAGTTCATCTTGAGCTAGCAAAAAGATGTTATCATAGAAAAACATGGAAATGGATAAATTTCATTTATTTCCAGTAACAAAAAATGTGGCATAGACTATTTCTATTGGAAAAGGGCTTCTCTGAGTACATTTCATGTCTCTGACTTCTAACTTGATAATTAAAATGACTTATATTTGATAAATTGCTCAAATCAGATTTCAGCAAAACCTAGTGGGTTTTTTGGGATTGGTAGGGTTTAGGAAAACTAGAGAATCTGCTGTGGAAGTTGTATAGGGGAAATGTATTCACTTGAAGCCTAGGAAAATAAAAACTCTTTCTAGAAAGTACTATGTTTTCAACTTTTATCAGTGCATGGGAATACATATACTAGAAGTTACCCCCACAGCCATAGTCTGTGGTTTCTCAGTGAATTGATTTCATTCTGATAAGATAATGAAATTGTATGTTACAATGTTTAATTCCAGTGTCCTGGTGACTGTAGTCCCAGCTGTTCGGGATCCTGACTTGGTCATCAGGATCAGGAGTATAGAGGTAATTCTCTAAAAGTAAGATCTTCCTTTGAAAATAAAAATTACCAAGATACATGAAGGAGTACTTTTCACATTTTATTTCATGTGACGTGTGGATTTTTCTTCCAGCTTCTCACTTCTCCCTTCCATGTTGGGTTCTTGTCCTAGAAATTGTCGATGGAAAAACTTGATTAGTTAAAGAACCAGTATCACAGAACAAGGTTTTATTTATTTTCAATGTGAGTTTATTTTCTTGCTTGTGTGTCTTTCTATCTTGCCCACGTGCCAAGAATTGGACTGTAAACAGCATCAGTTTCATGGGCGTGTGAACTGTGCAGTTGCACAGGGCCCCAAACTTGGTTTAATGATCTATCATAACTATTTTTCAAATTCTTGATTTATGAACACAGAGCCCACAGATTCTGTAGATTGTCCTAACTACAATCTTTATCTGTAGTTCCTTCCCACCCACTCATTCCTTGTTATCCTGCAATGTGACTTCCGTCTTTATAACGGACTAAAACTTCTCTCTCTCAAATCATCTATGCCTAATGACCAATTTCTATAGTTTCTCCTTAATCCTCATTTATTTTATCCCATCTGGAGCATCTAACATTGTTGACAGATCACCCCTTTAAATCTGTTTGGTTCTCACTAATCTATATTATTATGGTTTTCTCCTATCTCTGAACTTGTTTGATAAAGCCAAGTAGAATGATGGCATGAAGTTAATAGTCACAATACATGCATGCCTCAGGGTTTTTCATTCTCTAGAATAGATCCATGTTCTATTCACAATGTATGTTGGTACTCTCTTGTTTTCACAGACTCAGTGACAAAATGATTTCCAAATGAATAAAGATAAAGGCTGAACTACAGTTCCTACCTGGCTGGTATTACAAATCATATGCAGGGTTTTGGGGGCTTTGTTTTATTTTCCTTAATACAGCAATGAAGTGAAGAACATACCAAGATTTTCATCAGTTGAATATATAAATGGTCTTAAATTTCCTCGAGTCTCCTTCACAAAATAATCAATGACGCTGAAAAGGTTTGGGAGTGTTACCTGTATAAAGAGAGAGTAAGGGAAGGCTCAATTGGAATTTAATGGAGATTACTGTGTATTTCCTGATCTCCAAAACATCATGTCAGTATCTCACTTCAATGACTTACTGAATGACCATAGTTTTACCTATCCACGTGTCTAATTTCTCCTTTCTACTTGACCGTGTGTCAATTCTCTGTTAAGTAATTACCCGTTACCCACTGGAAATAAGTAGCTATCTTGTTCTCCCTTAATTAAGGCATATGAAGGTGACTCAAGTTCAGCCAGAAAATGCTTTCTTCCTGAAATTTGAACTTCAGCAGAGGAACAAGGAAGGGTAGCAGCTTCCGAATCAGATGGTTCTTAGTACAAGTAAATGCTTCCCAGTCCCTGAAGGTTTGCTAACCTTCCAGTCATTCTATGTCCTAATAATAAATTTATTTTTGCTTAAGTTAGCCATAACTAGAGCTGGGGTGGTGGCTCGCACCTGTAATCCTAACTCCTTAGGAGGCTGAGGTGGGAGGATAGCTTCAGTCCAGGAGTTTTATTAAAAGGATTTGTTCTATAAAATTTGGATCCAGTCAAAAGGCTGCACTCAAGGATCCAGAAAACCACAAGTGGCCCCAAGGCCGCAGGTTCCCCATCCATATTTCTATACAAGTAAAATCTGGTTAAACCTGAATATCCCCGGCAACCCCGAAGAGGAAAAAGAATTCATGAGCCAGGTGTGGGCCATGCACATGTAGTCCCAGCTATTCAGGAGGCTGAGGCAGGAGGATCACTTGAGCCCAGGGGTTGAAGCCGAAAAGGGCCAAAAACAAAACTGGGAAAAACCACCGCAACCCAACCCGGGCAAAAAAACCAAAACCCCGGCCCCTAAAAAAAAAAATAAAAAAAAAAAAAAAAAAAACCGAATGAAGGGTTGAGGGATAGGATTGGGGAGGATGAAAGGTGAAAGGATAATCTAGACTGTTAGTTTTCCTTACACTGTGGATTACATGGGCCAATGACAGAAATAAGGCCCAGTTCACCAGTTGCAAAGACACATTATTCTTCCCCGAGTGTGGCTTCTAGTTACTTGTTTACTTGGATTATTCTCTAGCAGTCTAGTTCTTTGCCTCCTTCGTTAGAACTTTATTTGAAAAGCCTAGTCAGAGCTGGGCATGGTGGCTCACACCTGTAAGCCTAGCACTTCAGGATGCCGAGGTGGGAGGATCACTTGAGGCCAAGAGTTTGAGAACAGCCTGGACAATAGCAAGAACTCATCTCTACAAAAATATTTTAAAAAGTAGCTGAGTGTGATGGTGTATACCTGTAGGCCTAGCTACTCGGGAGGCAGGAGGATCGCTTTAAGCCCAGGAGTTTGAGGTTGCTGTGAGCTATGATGATGCCACTGCACTCTAACCCGGACGATAGAGCAAGACTCTTGTCTCAAAAAAAAAAAAACCTGGTCAGGCATGGATCTGAGAACTGAAAAGCTCTGGGAAGCATTTATGGCAAAGGTGTAAGTGGGCAGTATGAATCAGCAGCTGCCTTACTCTCTAAGGGCTACGGCCAAAATATGAGAAATTCAACGACATTATCCCTTTTTTTAATTTAATCTACACAGTAAACCTAGAGAAGCAGAGGAACTAGGAGCTCAATTTTAGAGAAATAAAAATATCTTTA